ATTCGCTCAGACATCCAAGGAAGGATTGGGCCATCACTGGTCTCTCGACCTCTGGTGGAAACTACGAATGGCAGGAAGAAGCTTCATCACAGCGAATTAAAGTACAGTAATAAATTAATAATTACTAACTTACCAGTTTCACAGACGTGGATCAGCATCTCTGCAGGAGTTCATTCGTTTCACCGCATCACATCAAACCTGAGAGAGAGAGAGAGAGACGGAGAACAAGTTAGTTCTGAAGGAGAAACTCAAGGATAAGTTTAAATATATATATTTTGTTATTCGCTCAGACATCCAAGGAAGGATTGGGCCATCACTGGTCTCTCGACCTCTGGNCATGATCAGCAGCTTCACTACGGTGGCCTGGAGGGTCATTTCTCCACGGCTTTTAGACTCTTATACAAGTCTGTTCCTTGCTACCCAGAGTACCATCAGCGCCGTGGAGAAATGACCCTCCAGGCCACCGTAGTGAAGCTGCTGATCATGAAGGATGATGGGATGAAATCATCGGCAAGCAGAAATGATTAACTTCGATACAGGTGAGCAAGTTTATTATATATTAATTTATTACTGTACTTTAATTCGCTGTGATGAAGCTTCTTCCTGCCATTCGTAGTTTCCACCAGAGGTCGAGAGACCAGTGATGGCCCAATCCTTCCTTGGATGTCTGAGCGAATTAACTCGTTATAATCGGATAATCATTCAAATGTTCTGTTTATTAAAAGTGTTTTATTTACACTCACAGGTGGAGGAAACGACCAGGAGCCGAGGATTCGTTTTCCACAATCTTTATCGACTGTTTTTATTGATTACAAAGAAAAAGAAATAAAGATGACTGACTAAAGTTGATTTGTTCCTCTTTTATAAACATTTCTCATCAGGATTCTCCAAAATAAAATGTACTGAAAGTGTGAATTGTGTGTGTTGGTGCCAATTTGTCATCCTCGTACTTCGTTTTAATACATTTATAAGAGTAAGTGTTCATTAAGATATTTATAAAAACAAAAGTTGAAGTGCCAGATGAAGAAAGAAACATTAGATAAAAGGCATGAATATGATATTAAAATGTTGATAAGTAGACATTCAGGTAGACCAGTAGCAGCTGTATTTATAAGAGATTAATTACAAAATAGATTTATCCCACATTGAGAATTATTTCATCACAGCAGCATTTTGAATATTATTACATAAGAGTCTACAGTATTACAAACTGAAGATCATTAAAAACAAATACATTCTCAGTAAGGAATACCTTCATTCAGAGGAGTATCTAAACATAAAATATACAGAATACTTATAACCTGTAAACAGTGTACTATAAACATTAAGTAAAGCAGCTTAAAAGTAAAAGATATCCTATAATGTAATAAGTTAATGCTAAATTGTTTTTGTTTTAACAGTTTTACAGCTAAAATATATGATTATTCCACCAAATATTAAAACGTGTAATTCAATGATTTCGCGTTACGGATTAATGTTGTCCCTCTTCGCTTCCCGCACCTCTTCCAGCTGTCAGGGAAGCTGCTGTTAGCAGAGCTAGCTGTTAGCAGGCTAGCTTTAACTGGGAAAGGTGAAGAAAGAGCAATAATGGCGGGCGTGCACCCGCAGGTAAGTGAACTCAGATTCACAACGCAGCTTTTCAGACACTGTTTCCACTAAATGGTGATAGTTATGTTTAAATTCGCTATAAAGGGAGCTAACGGGAGCTAACAGAGCTAGCTGTGGCTAACTAGCCACCTAGCTTAAAACCAGCTGTAAACAAAGTGTCAGAAAACCATAACCGGATTTCTGATATACTCTTTGTCTAATATTTATATAATTTGACTCTTTTGTGACTCAAGAAGATAGTCCAGTAGTTTAATTGATAGACATGCATTTAGTTAAAAGTAGCTACAGCTGTTTAAAGTAGCATTAAAATGGAAATACTCAAGTACAAGTACCTCAGAATTGTACTTAATATAGTACTATAGTGTCTTCCCACCCCTGAACACAATGGAGGCTTTACTTGATTAAATAATGATGTTGTATTAACGGTAATAACCTACTTTAAAGTGTCCAGAGACCCACTGCTGTTATTTCTGTCCTCACAGGACGACCTGCTGAAGATGACACACAGAGAGAACTGGAAGTGAGTTTCATTTCCTCTCACACACACACACTTCACTTTCTCTATAAATACTGCAATGTATTCACAGCAGAGTGAACCCTGACATGTTGAATACCCCAAAGAAATGTATAGTTTAGTCTCCAGCACATAGAAACGGCAGGATGCTAACCGGCATATGTTGGGTCATTTGCACAATTAGCATAAGGTGTGTTAATTAACATGAATTGCATTATATCCTATGCCTTGTGACTGATGACGTGGCCAACTTGGACATATATGGAGTGATTTTGGAGGTTATTGAGGATGCTGAGTCAATAGTTGTACTCTTGGTGTACAAATAATAATACAAAAATAGGAAAGAAATAATTCATGTATGATTAAATAATGAAGAAATCAAAAATAAATGCTGCGTTTTTTCCCCCATCCCTTTTTCCCTCTGACAAGTTTTTTTTTTGTGGTGCTTTTTGTTTGGTTTCCACATAGACTGGGTATATAAAGGGTTTCCCCTCCGTCAGGGTGCAGCACGCGCGTCTAAGTGTGAAACATCGCGGTCATGAGGCCATGATGTGTTTATTAAAATGAATTGCATTATATCGTATGCCTTGTGACTGATGACGTGGCCAATTTGGACATTTATGGAGTGGTTTTGAGGTTATTGAGGATGCTGAGTGCATTTATGATCTTTTCAGGATGAAAAATGGCCATATGTGTACTCTTGGTGTACAAATAATGATACAAAAATAGGAAATAAATAACAAATATATGATTAATATTTGCAATTCTAAATAAATGCTGCGTTCTTTCCCCCATCCCTTTTTCCCTCTGACCAGCTTTGTTGTGCTTTTCTTTGTTTTCCCCTCCGTCAGGGTGCAGCACGAGCGTCTGCATGTGAAACATCGCGGCCACGAGGCCATGCACGCAGAGATGGTGATGATCCTCATCGCCACGCTGGTGGTGGCTCAGATCGTCCTGGTGCAGTGGAAGCAGAGACACCACCGGTCCTACAACGTGAGGCCTTCATATATACATTACATACATTTAAAGAGGCCCAATACTTAGGCTTTTGAGCATTGAAAGGTCTTCCTTTAAAGAGTCCTCTCCTGCTGATGTTCAGGTGTACATCAATATGTAGTGTCTCTACTTTAAAGAGTCCTCTCCTGCTGATGTTCAGGTGTATATCAGTATGTAGTGTTAGTCAGTACCTTTTGTCAACTGCTGCTTCCTGCACACAGGCCTCCACAAAAGTCCCCAGGGCGCCCACCCACCCCAAAGCAGCTTAAGTCTCCGGGGGCAGAAGACCCTGGAAATCTTCGTCCTTTCAGGGTCCCACACGCGAGTCCCAAACCCACCAGAGTCCCAGGAGAGGAGGAGGAGGAGGAGGAGGAGGAAGAGCAGGTCCTCAGTCCTCATCAGCCTCGCCCTCAGCCACTGGGTCAGAACAGGAGCGGCAGCGAGCAGACACCAGGTCAGTTACACACAGTGTCATGGAGTGTCTTTTCATTAGTGAGTTTTATAAGATACAATGGGCAAAATCTGAATTACGATGCCTTTTTTTTTTAGAGAGTGCAAGCAGCCCTCCAGCCCACAAGACCTCAGCAGGCACGACAGATCCAGAGGAGGCGAGTCGTATCCTGGCTGAGAATCGCAGACTGGCCCGAGAGCAGAGGGAGAGAGAGGAGGAGGAGCGCAAGCAGCAGGAGGAGCAGCGGAGGTAAACTGTTGTGATCAAGAGTGGTGTCGTGGCTTCCTTCCTTCCTTTTCTATCAAGCCACTAGACGCCTTAAACTGACCTTTCTGACTCGTTTGTCTTTCCTTTATATTTGTGTTACTTGCAGTTGATGAGTTGCTTGGCCTCCGATGGTTTGGATGATATTATGCAATGGGTTTGCTCAAAATAAAATAACAAACTTTTACACATGCAACAAAGAAAATAGGCCTTTACAATAGTCAAAACGAACAGGCAAAACTCAAATAAAATAACAAACAACTTAGGTATTCTTTCTTTCTTTCTTTCTTTCTTTCTTTGTTAAGGCTTGTATAACTTGATAACTTAAAGGGTAATTGAATGGTTCAAAAATGTTCCTCGACGGCGTCTTTCTAACAGGTGGCCCGTCTCTGTCACCTTAGAGGAGGCTCCGTGGGAATTGTAGTCTTTTATACCCTGGTTGACGATAGAAGTCTGTGCCTCTGCGTCCTCCACTGATTCGTTTCCCTTTTTTGTACAGGATAGCGCAGGAAGAGATGGCTCGCCGTAAGGCAGAGGAGCGAGTGAAGAGAGAGGAGGAGGCTCAGCGTCAGGGAGAGGAGACGAGGAAACAAAAGGAGGAGGAGGAGAGAAAGGGCGAGGAAGAGAGACTTCAGAAAGAGAAAGAGGAGGCGGAGAAACTCCAGAAACAGGTGAGAGGGAGTGTTCACTAGAGGCGCAACTTAACTTGCCCTCTCACAGGAAGTGTAAACGCTTGATGTGTGTACCTGCGTGTTAGAAAGAGGAGGAAGAGTCGCGACAGAGGGAGGAGGCAGAGCGGCTGAGGAAGGAGAGAGAGAAACACTTCCAGAAAGAAGAGGCTGAACGCTTAGAAAGGAAAAAGGTGATGCACTTTCACAGACATATACACACATTTAAGAATGTTATTCCTCTTGTGCAGTGCATGTAAAAACTCTTCTTTTGTTTTCACCAGCGTCTGGATGAGATCATGAAGAGAACAAGACGTTCAGACCCATCAGACAAGGTAAACCTGAAAGAGAGAGATATATAGATATATAATCTGAAGATTCTATGTTGTTTCTGAGGTTCATTCTTTCTCTGTATTGTTTCCCTTCTTTAGAAAGTTGTTCCCAACAGAAACGGAGAAAATGCAGGTAACCAAATGTGTCTTCATACAATCAGACATATGGCAAGGTTATAGAACATAGAGCCATTGTAGGTGAAGAATAATAATACCCTGGCCATTTACATACATTATTTTACCATTTTTAAAAATAAATATTGAATTATGCAGGAATATAACTTCCCTGCGTCACCATTTGGTACAACAGGGAAGGATTTTGCTTTGGTATCTGGTGGTGCGAACATAAACAATCTAAATAAATAAGTTGCAAAGAAGGTAAGAAAAAAAGAAATATATTAGGATACAAAAAATAAGTAAAAGACAAGTATTTACACCAAATGTAAATGTAACTATACAAATAACCTTAAAAGCTAAAAAAACAAAAACACTTAGGACAATGAGTATATATGGCAAACTACAGTGTGTTATATTTTAAAGTGGAGGATGTATAAAAAAGCAGTCGGAGAGTTAAGCATGAAATTGGCTCACAGTATTAAAAAAAGACAGAAAACAACAAGATATTGTTCACATGATTAATGTAATGCATCATGTTTTTGGGTGGATAAAAAGTCAGTGTGGGTCCCGGGCCTTGTTGATGAGGCCGGTAGCAGAGGGGAAGCTGTCCCCCATGTAGCTGTTTCTGACTTCTGTGTGTGTTTCCTCTTATCATCAGAGACCCCTGCCACTCCCAGTCCATCTGCAGTAACCCCCTCACCGTCACTCAATAGCAACGGTGGTCAACCAGACCCTGAAACCTCAGCACTGAGCCATACTGACCAGAGGTAGAGTTATGAATTGAAAACATTTGAATTGGTATGTCTGCAAATGTTTCAGGAAACCCCAGGTCGCAGTTCATATTTACTGGAGTGTGACAACAATCTGTTTTGTACAAGAAAATAATACTATAATAATATTGTATAGATGAATAAAACTGTAAACAATACATCTTTTAAGAATACTATGGTTATTGAGATAAAAAAGTAATAAATAATAAATTGTATGTATTTTAAATTTGTTGCAACTCTGCCAGCTTTCAGTTGCGAAATCTGACTTTGAATACATTTTGTGACCAATATCTCAAATGTAATCATATTTAAATGTTAAGGCGAATGTAAGTTGAGGATATAAACATGTGTTTGGTATAGGCAATAGTTTCTGAGTAACTGAGTCTCACCTGTTGTCCGTCACATCAATAACTGTTCCTCTCTGTCCTCTGTTCATCCAGGGAGAACGGGGAGTTTGAGGAGGTGATCGTACTGCCTTCACATTCCAGGCTGTCTCCTCCTGAGGGAGAGGAGGAGGAAGAGGAGGGCAGAGTTCCTGTCATAGCCTTCAGGGAGAACGGCCTCCTAAAGCCTCTGAGCGGAGCAGAGGACATATCAGCCCAGCAGGGACCGGGTCAGTAGCCGTCCTCTTCATGAAATATGTTAGTCTATTCTTCTGCACTGAAACAATGTACCATTCCCTGTTTTCATTCTGTTGCTCTTGGGTTTTAGACGTTGCCTGATGCCCTGTTAGGCCGACGTGATTCCACACCCAGAGAGACAGGAAGTGAGACGGCCACAGAGCGGTAACATAGGGCTGTTATCAAAGCGAGACCCTTCCAGAGGACTACTTTCTCTCCCTCCCGCGACAGAAGAGAAACGCGGCCACTTCCCAAAGATGGAGTCTCCAAAGATCTGCCTCCCCAGAAAGAAGTTACTTTCCCCCCCGAACAAACTCTCTGAGGAACAGACGCTCTTCTCTGTCTCCCATCACTCTGTCATTACGTTCTGTGTACAGCCCCAAACCCCCCCCCCCCCC